TTTATTCTCCTCAAAAATATCAAATATTATTTTATATTTTTTCAGTTTTCTGCTAGTCGATGAATCGAATGCAACATTTTTTGTTAATTCAGATATCACAAAATTTGAAAAGAAACTGATTGGTTTCTCGCGAAACATAGAAACTACGAATATCGAGAAATTAATTTAGCGGCTCCCACGAAACGGAGATTGAAAATTCGCAATAAGCTGACCACTTTCAAAATGCAATTTTAATTTTTATATTCGATTTATTTTTAAAGACGAGACGCGTTCGAGAATTTTAAATGAATCGTTTTGAATAAATAAACGAAGAATTTGGGAGGCCCTGTTCTAATTTGGTGTTAAAAAAATCGAGGACGTCTTTCGGCGACTATGGAACCGCGACAGTGATAAGCCGGATCGAAAATTTAAATTCCATTGATGTTGAAGCGAGTCTGGTGTAAACTGCTGCTTTCTAAGTAATTATGTACATACATTGTACGTGTTTACGAACCGTAATATCAATCAAGTATGTTCCTTGTTCAACGATATAAGCCATTTAGAAAACATTTAACACTCTACGTGTGAATATTCCGGCGCTAAACGGCGTCGTAAAGTGGCCGGAAACCATGAAAAACGAGGGAACAATTAAAAACAATTGTGATAGTTGGTTTCTTACATAGAGTTTATTATCTATAGAATACATAATACTGTGACATGGTGAAGAAAAGAAGCTACAGAAAAGTACGGAGAATGTTAATGAGAGAGAATTATTAAATATTTAACGATACAACTCGATATATCTTAACGTGTTAAACAATTGTTATTTCACCGATATCCACCACAAATTGATAGCAGAGCATGACTACGGGGGAAGATTAAAGTGAATATTAGTGAACACGTGTAAAAGTAAGGTGACCATGGCCGACACGTGGGGCATAACTAATGTGGAACAATTGGATGAGACAAATTACTTCCTTTGGAAGGGAAAAAGATTGTGGAGAATATACCTGAGAAACTAGTAGAAGGAGAAGTTGAATACTAAAAGAAATTAATAGCGTGAAACACTTGAGACAGCCACGCAGCCAAACAGTGATCTTAGTGGAAATATTTATAATAGTTATCCCCAGAGTCGAAGCGTACGTATAAATAAATTTTGACAATAAAAAAACTTTGCACGGAGCAGAGCTTTTCAATAAATATTTCGAGGAGTAACGTTTCAATAGAACTATTCATTTTTTGACTCGGTAAAACGACCGTGCACATACGGAGCAAATGATTTCATTCCGCATTATTGGTTCCATTGACTACGTGAATATCAATGCATCCGATCTGCATTGCGTTCTGGTCATTAATATGAGACCATGATGCACTGATTGCAAAAAAAAGAGTAATATCACGGGGACCATCGAAAGCTGTTGAAATTACATTTCTACACGATTTCGATCGCGAAATTTAATTGTTATTCCTACGTGCGCGTTCTTAAACGAATATACTTCTTTCTTTATGAATCGCCATTAAAATTTAAGAAAACGGAATAATGTTTAAATGAAAAGTTGGAAAGTATTCTTTGGACAAATCTTGGGTACTCAAAAAAAAAGAAAATTAATTTTACTTTAAAATCGCTCTCGTTGAGCTAGATAGAGAATAAATATTTACACTATACGGTGTCCTCTCTTTTATACAGGGTGTTAAAATTTTAGGTTATGTAACTTACAATGGTCTAAAATCAAAATTTTACTTTTGCACAATATTATACGGTTAAAACTCCTGAACGGATTGGAGGATTTTAATGATTCGAAATTGAAACGATGCGTATTAATAGAGCTCTAGAACCCCATAAATATAGACGTAAGGTCTACTCGCAAATTGTCGTTCTACAGACGGTACTTTAAACGTTAATAACTTTTTAACGCGACCTTGATCAACAAATTGGTATTCTTGATTTTCGTCTTATTTTCGCCTCTAGAATCTCCCATTAAAATTTTTCCCAGGGGTGGCCGAACACCCTGTATATAAATTTTTTTTGATAATTTCATCCGTAATGTTCTTTTTGAGAGGCCGTTGAGATCCATTTATGGAAAGGATGGGGGAAATACGATTATATCGATACGTTTTTCTATTTTTTTATTTTTGTGCTCGTCGCCACTGTTGGTTGGAAGACTTCATTATCGCGACGCTAATAGAGCATGACGCCCATAGGCGGGGGAGGTCGCACGAAACGCCGGGCTGACTCGTCGGTTGAAGTCGTATAAAAGGCAATAGGACGCTGTAAATGTCCTTTAAACTCCAGCACGAAGTTAGTTGGCAAGGAAGAGCACCGCGAAGGTTCATGCAATTAATCACTTAGCGGTTTTATTCAATTATGTCTTGCCGCGGTCCAGAGTGCCAGTGGAACGCGGGTAGTAGGAGGATTTAGGATGGCTGGCGACAATGGCGTAGGGTCGAAAGGAAAGTTGGAGGCGAAGGAGGAAGCAACGGAAGTCCCGGTTGGGTGGTATTTGATTTGTACGCGTTGACATAACATAGCAGGCGGAGTTACGCTTCGTGGCTGTCGTTTTCCGTGGACGGATTCCGGCGTTCATCAATCATCGACGATGAAATAGATCGATTCGACGTCGTTAGCATATTTCGAAAGGATCGATAAGAAACCGGAAGTTGAATTGAAAACGCGAACGCTGCTTCTTTCTAAAGACACCCCCTTCGTTCATACTGTATCATAGGTCGTTCATCGACCTTAATGACTGTCGTTTATTAATTACTCTTTCAACATCACAACTATCGTCAATTATAGTGTATTTATTTGGAATGTATAATGCAATGGAAATAAGCGTTTATTCGTTCTATTTAAAAAAATTACGATTTTTACAAGTTTTACGTATTAGAAATTACGAACCAGTCATTCTGACTGCTTTGGTAGTTCCAACGTTAACTCCTTGACTCACGATTTAATTCCAAATAGTTTTAATTTAGCACGAAAAGAATAGATTTGTTTTACGAACATCTCGAGAATGTGAAAATGTGATTAATTTATAGGGCTCGATGACGAATGGCCTCGTAATTGCGAGACTTGACATCAAGAAGTATGGCAAAGGGTTAAACCGGCCGACACGATAGCGAAAATTCTATCGAACGAATTCAAATAATTCTATTATAATAAAAATTGAAAATTGTCCCGTTCCGCGAGACTTTCCGCGACTCTCGCGCGCTCTATTAAATCGGAAAACTTTCGTTTATCCGTTCCCATCGGAACTTATAATGCGAGAACTTTTTTTTTGCCCCCCACACACCTTAATAAGTTCGGTCGAAACTGTTTAAAAGGAACGTATTAAGAAAGTTCGACGACCGTTTCGAGCCGCGACCAATGTCAACCAACGGAATACAAAAGCGCGAAATAAATCCGCGCGATTCTATTAGAAGTTCCGTTGGCCTAAAGTTGAACGTGCCGCGTCAATGCCCCGGCTTTTCTTCCCGGGGAATGATTCACGTAGATCCGCGAAGTTGTTTAAAGTCTCTTGAAAGTACCCGGGGACAACAATACCTGTCACCTTGTGGGCTCGTGCCACGGAATTTTTCCCACCTTTGGCGGTCGAAAGGGATGGGTGGAGGTAGGGGTGGGTAGACGGCGAGGAAAGTATCGATGAAAGATATAAAGCAGGAACGGTGTGAAAGGAACGCGAAGAAAAGTTAGGCCAGGTAAGCAAACCCAATGGAGCCAGGAAAGTTGGGCAGATCGCGACGCGGACCGGTGATCTGTGGCGGCGGCCTTTCCGGTTCGGACCAACTTCACCGGAAACTCTAACTTTCAAACTTCCATAAGCGTGCAAAGAACAAGCGGCTGAAAGACGCCGCCGCGAGATAACGGACATTCTCTGGACAGATGATGCGTGCTAGCGTCAACTTCTCACGGTTAGGATACATTCCTTTTTACGGTGTAATTGTACACACTCGGGACATCGACCAGCTAGTTTCCGCAACGAAGATTCATGCTGGCGCGGGATTCATTTTTACTTGTTAGTTCGCCCCATTTGCGAAATTCCCGAAATTACGGACTTGGCATCGAAAATACGATGCTTAAAATGTTCCACTTTATCGTGGCGGCAAACTTGGTTGCTTATTATATTTATTTGTTTATTTAAGAAACGGGAATAACAGGTGTCAGAGAGGTAGCTAAACGTAGAGACGTATAAGTATTATTATTTCCAAAAGCTTTACTAGTGTTTGTTTACATCGATAAAAGACAATTACTCGTAAGATGGTTCTAGTTTCCAAAATTGGAGACTTGTTGATAACTGTAAACCTACCGAATAAAAATCTCTTTGATTGTTTTTTATTTGGTCAACCTTGAGTGCTGCAATCACCTACGCCAGTGTTTAAACACATGTATAAAAATTATCTTGTACTACCAAGGGATAGCTAGATAAATTGCAAAAAAGAAGCATACCGTCAGATGTAACATTTCCTTAAAAAAAATTAAGAAAAATGGATCAATTTTCTATCATTCGCATGAGACTCCCCTCTTGAAGTTTCCCAGAAATGCATAAACATTCCTCTGTAAAAAAACTAAGCGTTTGCAGCGGTAAAAGAAATAGAACCGTGCAATAAAGTCGACTGATTCGTTTGTTGCAGGATGATGAAGAGGGTCGGCCGAAAAATGGCTACTCGAGGATCATTGGTACGTGGGAATCGGGCCACGTGACTGTTATCTCGCTGTCGGAGGTTGATGGAACAACGAGGAACGGGACGAAATCCGCAAACGATGAAGTCCTTCGGCAAGTGAGCGGTCGCGGTGATATGAATGAACGCGGGATCGTTCGTGACGTTAAACGATCGAGCCTCGAGCCAGCCGAAACAAATACCGTCGATTAACCGGCACGCGATACACCGGAAACGCGATTAAAACGCGGCCCGCGTCTTTTTCGCGCCGCGTAAAGAAAACCCGGACCGGTTCTCGCGCGATCGCGTGAAAAGTGGCGGCGAAACTGGATACGGTCGACGAGGAGGAAGAAGAGAACCGGACCGAGAGCGGAAACGGTCGCAGAAAGATGCGGTGTTGCGTCCTCGTAGTCGTCGTCGCCCTTTTCGACGTCGTCCACGCTCAAGGTTCGTCGAATTTTCATATTTTTTTTTTTCCTTCATAGTTCTACGTTCTTTCACCCGACTCTCGAATCGCAAGTTACACCTTTGTTTACGTGTCTCCCGCTCTGACCCGCTCACCTTTCAACCTACCCCAGGGGTGGGGAACCTTTTGTCATCGGAAAGGCTACGCTTCGACCCACAAAATACGATTCTCGATAGACGACGAGACAAAGGGACGATTTTTGTTATCGAATTGAAAAAGATCGTAGAAGGATCGCGCGGTCCTCGACATTTTTTAACAGATTTAAATTATCACAATGTTCAAAGTAGTATAATACAGCGGTGGATTTGGTATAGAAACGTCAGAAACTATTGAAATAATTGTCAAAGGCAGAACAAAATTAATAAAATAGAGAGTTCTGTTATCATCTGATACCTGGACAAAAGTATTGGCACATTTTATGTAACAACGTATTAAATTATAATTTAATATTTTGTAACGTGTCCTCTTCGTTTCACTATTTCTTTTAATCTGTTTTCGACCATTCTGTTGAAATTATTCGTTTTAATTCCGATTTATACGATCGTGGTGTTTACGAACACATTTTTCCAATTGTATGCTGTGTTGCAAACAATCCATCGACAAACTGTACAATATGCCATATGTGCAGGCGCATTATCTCGTTGAAAATAAAAGTTTGCCGGTAACTTTGATTGTTCTGCACCTTTCTTTAAATTCTCTTTTAAGATATTTAAATAAGTTTTTGCATCTACAGAGTTTTCAAGTCCGGATGAAGGGCATACACCTCCATATACAGACTTTACCACCTCCATGGTTGACAATTCGGTATTCCGTTTCCTCCATACTAGTACCCGATCATCTGATTTGAAAATTATTTTATTAATTTTGTTCTGTCTTGTACAAGTACGAGATACGTACAAAAAAGAAGCGATGCAAACAATTTTCTCAATAGTTTTTAACGTTCTTATATCAAATCGCGTAGTTTATCAATATTTATCTCCACCGCTGTATATTACACTATTATTCGAATTATTAGAACTCGTTACGCCCATGTCGAGTATAGACGGTGCAAGTATTGAGGGGGCTGGAGAAGTACCAGAGGCCCTCGGAACTGACGATAAAACGTGCCCATTGGCGGAATTTTCTCGTTAAAAGTAACATAATCTCTTTGTAACGGAATCAGCGGTAGCATGCAAAGGCGCCTCGAGACAAAACTTCGTTTTCCGCTCGCCATGGAGAGTCAAAAAGCGAAATATCCTCGATCCGACGGGCATGGAAACCGAATCCGAGTCCGAATCCGAGTCTCGGGCGAAGAATTTCGAAGTCCCGATCGATAGGTTCGGAAACCCTTTGAAAAAGTTCCAGGCCCCCATTGAGAGGCACGTTTGCGCAATGAGCCCGACGAGTTGGTTGAAATTTCGAAGTTCGTGACGGGTTATTACGCCGCGGCGGCGGGCGTAATGATTTTGCAGGCGGGAAGTTCGCCGGGCGATATAAATGTGAGCGGCGATATAGAACCGGCGAGTGTTAAAATGAACTTGCGCCGCTTTTGACGTTTTACTGTTTAATTGAATTCGAGAGATTCCGCGCCGCTGGGTTATCCGAATTACCCACTATGTTTCTACGGGAAGATTCTATTATACGGGCACTTGTTTCCCCGTGATCTACGATCGCTTTAGCGAGAAATTATGTCGGCGACGGGGCTGTTTCATCACGTCTATATTCCACGTTCCACCGGCACTCGTTTTCGTTATTTTCTTCTATGGACCGACGCGTAATCCGTACGAGGGGGGCTCTTAAATTCCCGCCAATTTCAGCGCACGAGAGGGGAATTAGCAGCGGGGGCATCAGGTGCGCTTTAAAATCAATTTTGATTTACGTTTCGCCTAAATTGGAAACCGGGGATGTTCGATTCTTGCAAGAAGAATCGATCCTTGAGTCGATTCTAAATTGAAACGACCGGAATCGACGCGGCACGAAATCGAACTACGACGAATCGATCTATCGGAAATCGATTTAGAGAATCGTTCGAGGCACCGCTTCGATATACTATCTATTACCGTCCAAATATTAATTGTCGTGTTTCGTATAAACTTTGAAATTTTTTTATCAAATTTGCATATTTATAATTTATATTTAAGACACGATAAACGAAACAATTAATAATTAACGATGAAGTACTATTTGCTTTGTGCAAATTGTTTAGAAAATTATTGAAGCAAAGATGGATCATTCTACGCCAAATCGATCGTTTTTTTCTCCTCGATGTCTGGAATTTTGTTTAAAATTTAATAGTATGTAGTTCATACGATATTAAGTATAGTTTAAGTCATCATTTTGTTGGTTTAGAATTTTACCTCAGAAATTTACGACTTTTGTGAAAATGGATTGTATTTAGGAATTTTTATCTCGTAAACTAATTATTATATTGAAATGTTTTCTTTTTATTCGAAGAGGATTTATTCTTCTAAATAAGTTCTGTCCATAACGATAAGTCAATAAAATACAAATTTATTTATAATTTCCGATATTGCAAAATTGATTTTTCATTCGTAACAAAATTTATTTCGAAAGGTCAATCTTTTCCTAATATAATTGAAGAAGGAAACATCTCAATACTATAAATAGATTCGAAGATAAAAATTATTACTTACGACCTACTTTGAAAGAATCGTAAACTGTAGAGGTTTGTATTTTTTAAATAAATTCGCAACCAGTAAAATGATGACTTAAACTACCCCTAATATCGTACAGTTTACATCATATTCAATTTTAAACATAATCTTAGACATCGAGGGCGACAAGTGATCAATTTGGCATGAAATTTAACAATTAATATAAAAACTTTTAATCGAAGGAATGATACTCAAACTAGAAATTATATGAATAGTCGTCTGTAATACTTCGTTCAAAATGAATATTAGTTTTTCTTCTAAAATATAAATTTAAGGTCAAACAGAAAATTCTTGTACATGACACTATAAGTACGATAAAAGAAACTGAATTTTCTCTACGGATCAAAGATCGATTCATAATTTAAAAAAATCAATTCGTGTCAAAATCGCATATAAAAGAATCGATTTAAACAAATCGAGAATCGTATTAAAAAGATCGATTTTCTGGAAAATCGATTCCGACTCGAACATTCTTATTTGAAACCCTCTTCGTTCGAGAAGAAATTTTTAGTTTCTATTTACCAATTATTTTTACTTCGTCCATCTGCGACGTTCATCAATTTTCAGACAAATTCTTACGCAAATAATTATTTACCACTGTCTGTTTAAGCAAGCATTGGCTTCTCTCGATTATTGGAATTTCCAGCCCCAATTTTTTGCAGTAATCGAGCTGGTGCTGTGTCACGATTTGGACAACAAAAGTGACGTACCATCTGATCATGGGAATAATAACAACGCGTGTTTTCTGGTCGTTCTGGGTTAATATCATTCGAGTTCCGCGGCATTGTGACGCGAAATTTGTGACAGACACCGAGATTTTTGGCCGAAAGGGGAATCTTCGATATTTATCGGATGTAACGGGAGGAAAAATCACTTGATAGTACGATATATTCCCTTAACAATAGTTCGCGCGTGCAGGGTGGTTCGGATGAATGCGGCGTCAGGCGACAGGTATCTATTGTTGCGCCCGATCATTCGTCATACTTCGACGACGCACTTCCTAAAAGCAACAACAACATTATTTCATCGGGAGTTACGTCGGGTCTTTCGTGCACTTAAAAAAAAAAAGGAGAATGCAACGAATCTAACGAAGTTTTTCTAACCATTCGACGCGATGAGCAATATTGCGAGAAAAATTCTTTTCGGTTTTTCCTTTTTTTTTTTCTACCCTCCCCCCCTCTCTGCTCGTCCTGTTTCCGCCCCGTGGACGAAAATTCAGTGCTCCAGTTAAAATGGAAAGACCGAAATAATTAACGACGCGAATACTCCCCCCCCCCCCCCCCCCCCCCGGGCCCTCCTCCGTCCCGCCCCTTCCATTCGTGATAGTAACTTGAATATATTTTCCTCCGGACATGTGTCTGTTTTCGTTACTTCTTTTTCTGCAAATAGACTGGTTTTCGACGTCTGTGCGGAAGATTTTTCCTTTTTTTATGAACTGTCAGTAGCCTGTTCGCACTCGAATTACATCGAACGTCACTGTCTGAAATTCTGCATCGTATTTCTGCGTTTCATTGTAGCCCCTCGGACGTATTTATATTTTAACCAGGCCCGGGGGACTGGTTCAATCTTCTTTTCTTCCCTGTTCGAAAAATTTCTGGTGATCCAAATATTCGACGAACGTAATTATAAAATACTCTGAGACGTTTGTTACGGAACAGATTTCAAACTTGCATGCTAGTGCTCTCCTAATATTTTACTTATTATTAGTACTAGTATCTTGTCGATGAATTAAAAATTCTTTTAATTTATCGATAAGATATAAGTACTAATAATAAGTAAAATATTAGGACAGCACCAGATTAAAAATTCTTTTAATTTATCGATAAGATGTCAGTACTAATAATAAGTAAAATATTAGGACAGCACCAGATTAAAAATTCTTTTAATTTATCGATAAGATGCAAGTACTAATAATAAGTAAAATATTATTATACCACTGGAGTGCAAGTTTGAAATTTATTTTGTAATAAATATCTTATCTAATTACATTTGTCGAATATTTGAATCGCCAAAAAATTAAAAATTCTTTTAATTTATCCAGAACGACCATTTGCCAAGAATCGTCGAAAAAATGAGACAGGCATCGAGGTGATTGCTATATATGTACACACGTATGTAACGCAGGGCGTTTCCATGAATAAAAATTAGGGTAGTAGATGTACGATAGTTAATCGATCCGTTAGGTTTTGCGAGGCACGCAATTAACTGTAATAAATGATCCCTTGTCTAAGGTAAATCTAGTTCGCAAGAAAGTGTAGCAGTTCGGTGTAGCGAGATGATTATTTCTAACGGACTTTATAATTTGCATATATCCATTTACGCGCGCG